TACTATAACATTATCATGTTACAGGAATAAAGTCGATGTCGACTTTGTACATTAGGCCAATCAATAGACAATTTGTTACATACGCATTATTTCCCCAAGGTGTACATTGATACCAATAAATTAGGTTTAAACCAGCGTAGAATAATTCTACTCCGCATCTACTTATGTTTGTACTTTATTAATTCTTACAAGTTACATGTACATTGAAATATAATACCCGGGGATCGCGTTGCGCTTTATATTTAATATACACGACAAATTTATCATGCAACAAATGACCAATTTCAAAAACATTTAAAGTCAAAGTTTTTTTCTCTAAAATTATATTATTTCTATTGGAATCAAGTATGCAGTACAGAATTGTCGTGGATAAATAATGTGCGTTTTAATTTCTCCAAATTGCACTAGTAAATAATATTTATACATCCTATCATACTTTATACGTTTTTCACTCTGTTCGTCTTCAAAGCGTTTATTTAACTCGATCTACTTTCAGCGGATGTTAGTTTTGCGTAAACAGCGCATTATAATAATTAAATTAATGTTGTTAAGTTACAGCCTACAACGATAGATAATTTTTAATAAAACTTGAAAGCGCTTTAATAATGAAGTGTCAAACGATCGGTTATAATAACTCAGTAGCGTTTTAAGACTTGTTGACACGGCAAACAACAGCTACTGCTTTTCGAACAGTGATGTAATGAAAACCGATTGGAAAATAATGGAATGAAGAACATTGTTGATTACTAAAAATGTACGGTTCGTTAAACTGCACAGTGCTTATAGGTTACCTACACTTTTTCAATCATATATTTTTGCGCTCGAGTGCGGATTGTCCGATTACTGTTAATAATATCGAGTTATTTACAATCGTTTTATCGTTTGTGAGGTCTAATACCGAGGTACCTAAACCACAAATATAATAAATAATATACTTAGGTACACGTATGAAAATAACAGCGTTATTTACAAAATAACAGCCAGATTTGGCGTCAAGAACAAAACTAAATAGTACTTCATTTTATTGCTTTCGTTTTTTTCATTGAAACCCAATATCTTCAGTGAATTTTTAAAGAGTCTCAGAACAGCTGGTGTTATATTTCGTCAAGTATTTTTTTTTCAATTATTATTTTGTAAATTGTTTTTTTTATTTCTGTTTGGAAAATCGTCACTAAACTTTCCTCAGACTACATAAATTTAGCCCGGAAAACGCCAGATTCGTTTTATAACCACCAGTCGATCAATAAAAACAATTTAACAGTGTATCTACCTACTTCAAAGTAAATATATTCAAATTACGCCATTAAATCCAGGCATGTGCAAAATTCAGTAATTTAAATACAAGTATAATAGTATTTTTTGGAAACAAAATACAAATTACTATATATTGCCTGTAGCAGATTACCCATACCAAAAATACATTAATCAACTATGACGTGTACAATAGGTATTTGGATTGAAATGAAATAAATACTACCTATACGTTATTCAAAGTTATCGTTGTTAAGTACTACGAGTAATTTATTTAAATTTCATAAATAAATAAAATAAAATATACTTGTACGTTTAAATACAAAAATAGTTTTGACATTTACTTAATTTGCGGACAATTATATTTTTTAATAAACGTCGACTAGTAATAATGAAAATTAAATATACTGATAAACTTAAGCTTGCCCAAAAACCACTATTACAGGTCGTGCTGCAAAAAATCTAAGGCCATATTATACGGACTAATTTAATATAATAATTGTACTCGGCTTCTTGAGGCAATAAAAAAGTCGACTTTTTGTTTTACAAAAGTGGCGTAATTAATGTTAAGCCCCGAGGACGTATGTTTTAATAATTTCTTTTTAGTGCTTTCTCGGTTTGAACTCGAAGGGCCATTTTTTATCGAATTAGTAATAATATTACTGTCGTATTTTCGGTTCAGGTGAATAGTTCTTATATTATGATGTTTATTTTTATTATTATACTTATTTAATATTTATTTTTGAGAATCGAATAAACAGTAAAACAATTTAAGTATAATAACGAAACTCAAACTAGATGTTATGTAAATCTATAGAGATCTTAAATTCTGTTTGCCCGGCACAAGTGTTATGTTTTTATCACTTGAACCGCGTTAAACCTATTTTATCAGAAATAGTTTTCTGTAATTATTGTAAAACGATATAATACCTGTGAACGTCTTAAAGTGCGGCCAATCCGCATCTAAAGCGCTCTAATTGGTTCCCACTTTTTTTCTAATTATTTATTGACCTCACTCTGATCCTTTAATCAGACAGAGATCCTATTTAGGCTTTATAATAAAGACGGTTTGGGAAAATAATTTATGATTTCAATTTATAAGTATTATTTATTAGTTTATCCCAGTAATAATCCCAGTAATAATTTGTCAAAATCTTGAACTCGAAACAACGAAACACTAAGAAAACGATACTTTTATCGTCACATTTGCGAGTAATGCCGTTTTTTATAGCTTTTGATAAGCTATACTATTATAACATTGTGTTTTTAGCCTAGCATATACTCTAAAAAAAAATCTATAAAATTTGACTTTTGGACCACGGGTATTATATGTTATGTAAAACTTATGTTTATCGTTGGGATTTACAAAGCAACGTTGGCGTTTAGATGGAAAAGATTGGATTTTTTGTTTTAAACTGTGCTTTTCAACGTTTATGACTATTTTGAAAAAAAACAAGAATTCTTCGAATTCTGTTACTTGTCAGAATTGTAATGACGTCATGTCGAGAGGGAATCGATCCAACTGCAATAATGGGGTTATTGCAGTGAGCTATACAGTCAACAATTTATTTATCTGTGATTCCGCAAAAATTGAAGCGCAAGTTCTGTAAAACATTAGCTCTATTGTCTGTGCTGTTATTACTACAATAATCCAAAAGGTCGCACGTTTACCGTACTTGGGTCGGCCACATCCGTCGTTCGCCTATCTAGGTCGAGTATGCACATAAGTACAATCATTTATTAAGCCGCGAGCGAATTAGATCTTATTGTTAATGAACGGATCTTAGACGTAAGTACGACGATCTTGTTTAAGATTAAAAATGCGTCTTTTAACGAATGGAAATGGATGTAAGTAATGATAGTAGCTTACAATGTAATATTATGTTTATAATATAATATTATTACAATCACAAGTCAACACTCGGACGGGATGAGATAATTTATGTTGTACACATAGGTATATATTTATATTATTATATGTGTGTGTGGTAGTTTAATACTTCGGGTAAATAATATCGTGTATTTACATGCATGCATGTATGCATGCTTTATGTTCAACTTATATTTACAGTATATAAATATAATATAATAACAATGGTAACTATTGTGAAATATCTAGTAATACCTACTCTGCACATACACACACTTGCACAGTCGCGTACCCAGACTGCTGGGGCGGTATCTAATCTTGCACAAATATTGGATGATTGACGGCGTTTGATCCTACTTTAAACCTATGATATTATTCGAATGTAATTTTTTTTTTTATATAATAATAATAATAATATGTTGGTATTATAATCGTTGCACTTAATACTACACAAGATCCTATGCACGACAACAATAGTTATTGACGGATAATTAATGCTTTGGGCGTAAGTACCTACTAAAAATACTGCGCGTTATAAAAATCAGCATTTAGATGTTCTTATAGCTATTATTAATGGACAACTGGCGCGTTTAAGTAATCAAACAAATAAAAAAACAACAGTTTGCATTATACATCCCTAACGAAAACTTACTTTTCTTATTGTAATTTCTGTGCTATACTTATGCTAATTCTAGTATATACCTACTTTTTTTCTTAAGACGGTACCGTCATCTCTGTAAATTTGTCTGAACTATTTCTGAGGTTAACTATTGATGAAATGAAAAAAATAAATTTTAACTTTTCATACTAATTTTGTACTCACTATTGTTTTAGTAGGTATAATACACTCGTATTAAATCAACATCCGGAGGCAAGTTTAGCCAATACCGATACAATTAAAAGGGACATAGTTAAAAATACTAAAAATCCTGGTCCGAATTTCAATAGTATAGTGGATTTTTTTTTTGATATTCTTATAACTACTAACTATGTTTCTTTTAATACTATATTCACGGACAGTATAGTGAATCCTCCTTGTTTATTTAAATTTCAGTATTAAATTCCATTTTTTTTTTATTTTACATTAATCATAAGCAAAGGGCTAAGGAAGCGGTGAAAAAGGGTTCATTATTTTCTAGTCGTTTGTAACTACTGAGGTCTATTCGACATCTGTCTAGATCAAGCCTATTTAGCTTATATTTTTCTCCCGTGTTTGGGCAATCGATTTTTTGACTAAACCAGTATTGGCCATCGGATCTTTAGAAATATTTTTTATCATAATTTTGAAACAATAATTATATCGGTCAGCGTCCAATGCTATATGTACACCACTGTGTTATGTAACGATGGAATATCAAGTCATCTGCAGTGTTCATTATTGACCTTTTACGCTAATGTTGTCCGATTTTTCGTTGGATCTTTTTTTGATTTCAAAACCATATCGACCATGCGCAGTTCAAATTCTGCATCGCTGCTATCGCGATAATCAAATTAACAATATCACTAATTACGGTCCTCGTCTTTCAGCTCTAAATACGTGGTTATCTTTTTCCCCCAGCATTTTGCTATAAAACGTCATGTAGGTCCTCCATTCTGGTCTATCTCTTCTGAATAGGATAGTTATAATATAGAATTTTCCGGATGCACATCCCGATATATTGTTATGTACAAGTAGATATTTAATACATTTTTGTTGGTTATATGATTATTAATTATATACATATATACAGCAGTGGCATACTGAATTGGTATATATTATAATAACAGTGGTCGTGTTGAATCGTACTTTGTCACCATTGCGCCAAGTGTGCACGGTTATAACGCGTTGTTATCTTTGGTGTTTTCATTGGACGACGAGTTCTTGAAGATAACCAAAACGTCTTATTGACACCATCAAACTGGGCGAGATTAATCATTCGACGACACGTTCTCGACGATCGTCGATATTCCCTCTTCCGGCAATCGTTTTGGCCATAGTCAGCAAAACCAGCAACAACACCAGCAAAAAACATATACTTTGACCGCGACAAACTACTACAATCGCAGTGATTTATTTGTTCGAGTACAAATCACTTCCAGACGTTTTTTACCCTCCCTTCGACCACTTCGTCCCTCCGCTTACGCTTTCATCAGTTTTTCCACACGCCGAGTACTCGCCAAGACCACGGGATATGCTCTTCGACGAATCCAGACACCAACACTATACCAATCATATTAAGGTGAATATAAACGTTGATTAATTATTACCGTTAAGCTGATTCAGTTTGGCTATTAGTACCTATAATATATGTCAAGTACTAGGTAACGTTCCTTTTTGGTCTCCAAAAGGAGCCCTTCCATCGTTCTCATACCATAACTAAAATAATTTCAATATATATATATATAGCAAAAGTCAAAACGCCGTAGATAGGCGTTAACACCAAAACTATCGCACCAAAATTAAAATATTTCCTCTGCTACGGATTTCTCTTAAGCGCTCCTGAGTCCTGGCCATTTATCATTCCTTCAAACCATAGACTGTATATACAATACATATCTCCTTAAACCGTACACAACAAAATGTCGGGAAAAAATATAAAAATCTGAAAAATAGGACAAGCTAAATCAGTTAGGTCGGGCACATTATGAATATACGTCGTCTTGACTAAACGAAAATATCATTTTAGAATATCATTCTAAAATGATTTACACTCGAGGTTCTCATATAATATTACAATCAAAAGTCCACTATAGTTTTATAAATAAATAATATTACATAAGTACTGTTATACGTCTATTATACCAGCTTCTATTTGTTGTTTTCAAATAAAATATGTTTGTGTTAATAGGCCCGGAGCAAACTATTATTTGGCTTTTTATATTTTTCGTGCACCGAAAGTGTTTTAAATTACTAAGAGAATAATAAAATGTGTATAACATTAAATTTATAATAATAATTAATTTAATAATATTTTATTATATTATTCTAGTGCTAGTCACAAGGATTTGAAAAATGCACATATACTTCCAATGTAAATCCGTGTTCATTCCTTATGACCTATACTGTACATAGTGAAACTGAACTTTAGACCACCGATTGCAATCACGTGTGTGTCACATAAGCCTAAACTACAGAGATAGATTGTATACTTAAGAATGTGCCCACGACTAGCTGCAGCGTCTATATTTACTATAATCGTGTGTCGTTTTCCTAATATAATTAGTATTACTATAAATATTATATTGACTGCATAGAGTAATAAATAGTACTCTATGATTGACTGGCACCGTAACGACTCAATGCAATTAATTCTAAACACAGAGCGGTGGTGTTCAGCAATACAAGTATCAGTTAAATTGGCAGCATTGTCGTGGATCTTTCTTTTAAGATACCGTGTACTTTTTTTTGTATAATTTTATAAGCTAGTTCAAAACGTTAAAAAAATAATATTTTTAGACTCGTTCTAATAGATTTTGATTCTTTAAATTGTATATTTTCATTTGTGTGTAAAAATAATAATTGTACCTATAACCAAATTGGTTTCCAAGGAGAGGGGGGGGGGCAGGAACTAAAATCACTAGAGATGACATTTCTCACAAAACAATTGTATTCCAGACAACTTATAATTGACTTTATTGATATAAAGATTCATTAGACGTATGAATCAGTAAAAATATTTCAAGGGGCGGGAGGGGAACACGTGTCTCAGGTACCCCCTCCCTCCTCTGGCCACGGCACTGGTTATACCTTAAGGTTCTATAGGTCTATAAGCTCGACCCTGACGTTAGATACTTCAATTTCCCTATACTGTATTAGCAGTGCTTGACTTGGGGGGGGGGACGCAGGGGGACTGAGTACCTCAACTAATTTTTTAGATATTCTAGCGTACCCCTACTACTTTTTTAAAGGGGAATGCATGGGACGGGTTGTTATTTAGTCTTACCTATATTTATAAAGTTGCTCAACTTCAATGTTTGTATTAAATATATAAATCTTACAAAATGTTATAATATTTACAAAATGTATTGATATCATATCTGATACGTATATTTTATTTTACTATCAATATTTCATTATAACTTATCAGTGACTACGCGGCGGCAAAACGTTTCCCGTTCGTGCCCGTCAATCGTCATGTTGTTGGTCTCGTTGCGAAACGTTACCGCGGTTTGATGGAACTAATCGCCCCGTTTGCCCGTTTAAACTTTAAATACGCTGTCTAGAAAAGTACTGTCATTGATTTAATACCGGGTGATTACAAAAGAATAAGTCGGTTTTAAATATCTGTATTTTTAAACGGTACAAGCTACAGAGCTGCGCGACCTCTTAAAATGACCACTATAACCTCAAGTTTTTTTTTAAAATAAAAAAAATCATAAATGTTCAATGTGTCCGCCTTGAGTAACCCGAACAATGTCAAGTCGGTATTCAAATTCCTCCCACACTGTGGAGCATGTCAGTAGTTACTGTGTGCACAGCCAAAGTTATGCGTGCCTTTAAATCTTTAATGTTCACAAGCGATGGCAACATAAAGACTTTTCTCTTGACGTATCCCCACAAAAAAATCACATGGCCAATCTTTCAACATTTAAAGGTACGAGTTGCCTGTACCAGTGGCTTCATTAAAAAAAAAATGGTCTATACACTTTCTCATGAGACATCGCGCAAAACACGTTATCTTTTGGCGAGTCTCTTAAGTGTTCCAGGGTTGTGTGTGGATTTTGTTCACCCCAAATTATCTTAGCGGTTACCTACTCTAACTTGAGATTACAGTGGCCATTTTAAGAGGTCTAGTAGCTCTATAGCTTGTACCGTTTAGAAAATACAGATTTTTATATTTACATTTCATCAATGGTACCGTGAAATTTTTTAAATGAAGATTGAAGATTTTTAAAAATGAAAAATTATGTTAAGTTACGGTTAAGTTTGTAACCGTTTGTAATAAGACAAGTTATACTTAGATAATTTTTATATTATTCTTTTTTGTTTAATGGTTTTTTATTAATGTTTCTTAGGGCACCGTTAAAGGGGGTGTGGAGGGCGAAGCCCCCCACGGTAATGTGAGGGATATTAAAATGCTAGGGACGCTACTTTTTTAAAAGTATGTAGAGTACCTCTACTACTTTTTTCTCAAGTCAAGCACTGTGTATTAGTAATTAGCACCTAGCGGGGAGAGATATACAGTGTAATATTATTTCCATTTCCGCACACTACTCTCAACTACTAATTCTCAACCGCACTTCCCCTCCCATCATAACTTTTAAACTCTTATAACTTATGTAATAGTTGTCAAAATCTGGTTATCAACCAGTCAAAATTTTTAGTGCATTATTCTAAATTTAAAAATGTAATAAAATATATACGTAACGATTCAAAATTCAAGTCACTGTCAAAAAAACTAAGTTGAAAGGGGGGTGAAAACAAAAAAAAATGTGAAAAATCGAGATCACATTGTATAAAAACAACATGAAACAAAAAATTAAATTTCTTATTAAACCCTATGAGATATTGAGATGGTCCATGATAAGAGAATCACCTAGTACTGTAATAATATGTTAATACATTAAAATGTACTTCTACTGACTATCCGATAATAGACAATTCTCTTGGGTCAATATTAACCTAACTTAGATTAACACGCTTAATCAAATTTTTCAGTTTGCACCAATTATACACTAAAATGTAAGTACAGTAGTTTAAACAAAATACTGAAATTAAACACTACCTAAATGTCACACATATTGGTTAGTGCAAATGGCCTTAAGTAATGTAAAAAAATCTCGTAAACGTGTTGACGGTAAGACTATAATATTGTATAAAATATGAATTCGTAAAAAAACGATTTTTTTTTTTTTACTGTAGAACGCTGAATGTTTGTTCAGTAAGTATAGTGTATACGGTCTATACGGATGTTCAAAGTAGCCTAATGCCTATTGCTATTGTATGCGAAATTATCGTATATTATACATCTAGTATCTACGGTGTATTGATGTTATCTGACTTAAACGCTTTGTCTGCCGTCTGGTGACATTAAAAAACGCGTACGGTCGCTACTATTTGTATTACATATTTTGTTTACTATTAACCTTTGACCGCACTCCAATGTATGTTCGGCCAACCTGAACGTCTTAGTGCATACTATAGTGCATATTATATTTTATCGTAAAAAAAAATTATTACTGTTATTGTACAATGACATTTACGTCTTACGATAAATATAGGCTTTTTAAAAACTCGTTATCGAAACACTATTCTTGTACAGACCCTTTAAAAAAACAATGACCTAACCAGCCCGTTTGTGTTTTTACCTTGGCCCAAGATAAACGACAATAGTTAGTCCGTCTTTGAACTAACAATAATTGTTGGTATAATATTGTATCCTAATTTCGCTGGAATTTTCTTTTAACGGTATAAGACATTTTTTTTTTAAATTAACTTCAAGGTTTAACGGAATTGTTTTAGTGAGTTTTCAGTTATAAATACACGGCGTCTATGCACGTTTGTGTATTATTGATTTAGGATATATATTTTTTTATGTGTACACACAGTATCTACAGAAATAACAACTAGGTATATTATAGAGATCTACTTATATAACGGTGCAGTAAAATAAAAATTAATACCCATGTATAGTTAACGCAATGAAAAGTAAAATAAAAAAAATGCGTTTTACAGTGTAAACGTTTACTTATACGATTGCGATTTGCGTGACTTTCAATGCACTCTTTTTAATCTTACTGCTTACACAGAACATATCCTAATAAGTAGAATTTTTCCATGCGGCACAAAAAAATGTATATCTTGTATAAAATGTTTGTAATAGAAAAATATTATCATACAACATTTTCACGGAATTTTCGAAATAATAATTTTCTTATTTTTCTGTCTGGGTTATGTCGCGTAGGTACAATCCAATACCGTGTTATGAAACAATAATATTGACATTAGTATAAATCAACATTAGTGTACCACAGAATGGAAATACAGTCCCTGCAAGCTGCATATTATTATGATTCAAAATTTGATCCACGTATGTATACATAGGAAACACCCTCGTCGTTCGGCCCTAGCCAATGGTTCTAATGCAGCGCGCATATTTTGAGTGTCATGTAAACATTGAAATTACAATAATAATTTTAATTAATATTGCAGAGACTTCTGCAGTGGATTAGGTTATACTGCGAATAGATTTGCGGGTTTTGCTAAAATCTCAGCGTTAAATGGTTTTCCGATAGTCTC